TTTCTATATGGTAATGTGTTTTAGGGATTATTGAGCACTAGTTGGTTGACGGTGATGTAACTACCCAAACTGGGCGACCCCATTACCTTGTCCATTTTGGATAATTGCACCTTATTTTCTATATGGTAAAGTGTTTTAGGATATTATGGCTATGATCTGGGCTGTGGTGGTGCAATTACCCAAACTGGGCAAGGCCTATCCTAACTTTAGCGCCCCCCCCTTTTTTTGAGGATATCCTCCTGAGCCTAAATCCTAACCCCTAAATCACAGCCTATATTGCCTCAAGACTCTATCTTGAGAGGAGCTCGTAGCCGCCGCGCTCGGCACTTGTCGCCAGCCTGAGGAGGCATGTGGGTCTAGGCTTTAGGGATTTTGGGTTGTTAATACAATGGCCGTTTGCCTATGTAATGGGTATGAGGGAAGGTAGAGGAACATGGATACTGCTGAGGGCTTAGGGTTTAGAGGATGAATGATTGTTGTTGTTTTTGGCTTATCGTTTGTATGATGGTGATTCTTGCTATCAATGTTGTTATTGCGATTCTTGCTATGATTGTTGTTACTGCGATTCTGGTCGTTATTGTTATTGTGAATACTGTTTGTTTTGCCTATTGTTATTATGCTTGTTGTTTATATGAGCTACTGTCAGTATTAGGCTTATCATGGAGCCCTCAACAGTGGACACAGGGGGCCTCTTGTAGCGTATTAAAGTCCATAATATAGTCCCTAGTAAGGAAGCCACGCCCATTAAACGTTTAGGAATTATTGGCTGTAGCTCATATATATATATATATGTATTTGATATCAATTATCTGTCATCATGCTCTTTGGTTGGTGTTGATCAGGAGACTGGCGCGCCTGCGCCTGCCCCAAGGCATGCGGTGGTCCTGGAGACTGTGGAATGGAGAAGCCGCAAAACTAAGGATAAAGTACGGCAGGTATATGATAGATGCAGCATAAGTCCCTAAAACCCGAAGTGCAAGACTCCCTGCGTGAACCGTAGCTTTTTTTTGGAGGTTGGAGGAGTTTGTTGGGGAAAGAGCTTGTCTTCATGAAGGTCAGCAGGAGCCCTGGGGAACAAGAAGGCTTTTTGTTGCAGTCTCTGCGTTGAGACATTCCTGCACCTGCAAATGCCTTCAAATTGGGTAGGCCTTTGCCGCTCATGCTCGCGCGGGTGATGTTGATTGTACTTGCTGGTTGGACGTCTTCATGGCCAATATTCGATACCTGCCCAGAGGGAATTGTCGTGTACTGTTTTTCCGCATTCCCCACCTGCATGCCGTGAGCACGATGCAGCGGCTGTGATGGTCGCCCTACACACCGTTTCTGCTCCAAGTCAGTAGTTGTGAGCCCGCAGAAAACGATCCTTCATGTTCAACTCAAATCCTTTTCCACCTCATTTCCATTCTCGTTTCTCTATTTGACTTTCCATTTATGGGGGGCAATAGGATCCACAAACCCTAAAGTTCCCTACAGATTATGATCCTAAACCCAAATCTTACCTCTTGGAGGGAGGGTATTCTTTGCTGCGTGCAGAAGGCGGGCCTCCACCTCCTCCAACCAGGCCGCATGGTGTCTGCAACGCCAATTTCATGCAGTTTTATAGTACTCGACCCCTAATTAGCGGGAAAAGCCCATCAAACTGTAGGTAGTTGGGGTCTACAGGTAGGGCTTCAGGAGCTTGAGGATTTAGGATCGGGCTTGTGGAGATCTAAACCCTGACCCATAAACCCTAACCCCTAGACCCTATCCCCTAAGCCCTAAACCCTAATCCCTAAACCCTACATGCGTGATACAGAGAAGGCTAGCATGGCCTCTGCGCAAGGAGACGACCGATACGATCACAACCAAGGCTGTTTTTCGCTCGAAAAGTTTGAGACAGGCGCACTGTATGTTAGGCTAACCATAGGGACCTGGGGTTGCTGTAAGCACTTAAGGGTCAGGGTCGTAGACTCCTCTTGGGTTAGCTCCCATTTCTTAACTGGTAACCACGTAGGTTATCAGCCGTAAGCTCTAGACGGGTTTACTGGGCTGAGACTAAAGTGGGTGGTGTCTAAGCTCGATAATGAATGAGGGTACCGGTGAATCTTCAGCTGAAGCCATGGAGCGTATGATGCGCACGCGTGGGCAAGCTGTGGGGTCACGGGAATCTGAG